TGGCCACGCCCACGCTGTAGGAGGAGCGAGCGAGAGCTCGCTATCCTGTAATATCCGTGCATCAAAAATGCCCGCCAGCAGCAACAGCAACAACAACAACAACAACAGCCGAGCGAAAGAGCGAGATAGCGAGATAGCGAGATGGCCTGAAAGTGCGAGCGGGACAAACATTGTCGAGAGGGTTGGTTCTTGACATTTGAACGGGCGACATCTCTTCTCTGCCAGCATACACAAGCACTTTACCCTGGCTGTGAATAAGAGCTGTCCTTTATTTTTCGATTATTTTTCGTTTTTTTTTTCTGTCTCCATTCTATTATCAAGTGCAGTGCACTTTATTTAATCAATCAAAATTCGCAAACCAAAGTCGATTTTGCAGCTTTCATTTCTGAAGTTAGGCGGGAATAATGCACGTGAATTTATAGAATTATTTGCTCTTTGAAACTGGAAATTACAAAAAACCAGGTAAATTTTGCCAGGATATTTCTACCATGCTGTTTATTTATTTCGATTTCATATATACCTAGAAACAAACAAGCTTATTATATTTTATTTTGCTATAAACTTCACATTTTTTAGTACTCTAAAAGGTTTTTTAGGCTTATACTATTTTTGAAGTTTTTTAGAAATTATATTAAACCCATTAAACTTAAGTTTCTTGCTTGCTTTGTTCTCAATTTATGGATTTATTTTCTCTTTGAAACTGGAAATTACAAAAAACCAGTTAAACTTTACCAGTATATTTCTACCATGCTGTTTATTTATTTCGATTTCATCTACACCTAGAAACAAACAAGCTTATTATATTTTATTTTGCTATAAACTTCACATATTTTAGTACTCTAAAAGGTTTTTTAGTCTATATTATTTTTTGAAGTTTTTTTTTAGAAATTATATTAAATCCAGTAAGCTAAGTTTCTTGCTTGCTTTGTTCTGGCTTTTCATGGCTTTTCAATATCTTAAAAAAATCTTAAAAAAGAGTCGATTAGCTATATATTTGTCTTTTAAAGTTTCCAAGGTTTTGCTTACTTAAGTTTCTTGCTTGCTTACTTAAGTTTCTTGCTTGCTTTGTTCTGGCTTTTCATGGCTTTTCAATATCTTAAAAAAATCTTAAAAAAGAGTCGCTTAACTATACATTTGTCTTTTAAAGTTTCCAAGGTTTTGCTTACTTAAGTTTCTTGTTTGCTTTGTTCTGGCTTTTCATGGCTTTTCAATATCTTAAAAAAAATCTTAAAAAAGAGTCACTTAACTAGATGTTTGTTTCTTATAGTTTCCAAGGTTTTGTATGTATTTTCCACAAAAGTAGTTGTTATTCAAGCTCAGAAATAAGAAGAAGACTTTTTACTGTATAGGACTAGTACTCTACTATTTTCCAAAATCTTAGAAAAATTCTTAAAAAAATTAGTTTTTTATTGTATCTCCTTTTTTTAAATACCAAATAAGTTTAACAATATTTCTGCCAAATGTGTCAAAAGACACTTTTTCAATTTTTAACTTGAAATTATTTTCCTAATTGAATAATATTTTCTAAATTTACTTATTGGTAATTCATTAATTGATTGTTTAATAAATTTAGTGGAAGAATAATCCTCGACAAAAAATAAATAAAAAGAGAATAATTTAAAAAACTTTTTATTCTCTTATTAGCCAAGGTGTCAAAGGACACCTTTTGGTTCAAATAGGAATACACAAAACCTTGGTAGAAATAGTGTTAAAGACTTTTAAGGACATTTTCCACAATAGTTGTTGTATGGGAGTCCAATAATCCTATAAAACCTATGTCTCAAGCTTGATTTGAATATGTTTTCGATAGCCAGAATCGTATACTTCTAAATGCATCTATAAGTTATGTATTTATCTCTTGTGAAACAAAATCAAAAATGCAATCAGTTCTGTTAAATTGTAATTTACAAATTCCCCAAGCTAAATCTACTGTACAAATATGTAAAAACCTTGTGAATTTCCGAAATTCTGACATCGACAGCTGTAAACAATAAGCAAATCGAGCACGATTTTCTCTAGAGCATATCCGCTGTCGAGGTATACAAAGTGCAAATATGTATTTGTACATTTTTGTGGTTGAGTTATTGAATGCCAAAAACAGCGCATCTTTAATTTGTAAACAAATACAAATTGCGAGTCAATGACACGTGCCACGTTTTCAGCTAAATTCATGTATCTACCTCAAGCGATGCGCACAAAAAAACCAGTTTCAACGAAACAAAGAACAATTTCAAACGCCTCGTTTAGCAATTAATATTCCCCTCTTAGTTATCCCCCTCCCCTCCCCTCCCCCCTCACTTCAATCGCAGTTCGTATGGATTTGGCATATTTACATTTGAACGTTCGCAAACAATTGGAAAGAAGTCCGAGACTTGGCGCCGAAGTCAAGCTGTTCGCAATCTGATTGACAGGTCAGTTTTGCGGGGTGGAAAATGCACAGAACACAAACCGAACATTTATCAATTCTATCGAGATAAATTAACCCAGGCTGCAAGTAAAAGTCAAGGCAAAACTCTTTAAAGTTGAGACACAATTGAGGAAGGCACAGTTACTATAACTTATATTTGTTGAAGACTATGTTTAACGAGTATACGAGCAATTTTGGTTTTTTTTTCTATTTATCGGAGTGGATTTTCTTTGCTTTTTGTTTACTGATTTTGTTTTAATTATCGTTTGCTTTAATTTGAATATATTTTATTTACAGTTGATTTTATTTACGACTTTCTCGTTTTCAAGTCAAATAACAGTTGCAATAAACAAGCATTCAACTTAATTGCTTACGTGGCTCACATCATTATAATTTACAAGAGAAACTTACTTAATAACTAAATTTGCAGTTTTTATATTTGATTTTGTATCATTTCGTTTATTTGTTGTTTATTTAATTTCTTTCTTTCTTGACTGTGCTTGAGTTGATTTAATTTATTTATTATGCTGATTTTGCTTTCTTTTATTTTATGTTTATTTTTACTAGTGAGAATATTGATTGATTAGTTATGTATACATGTGTGTGTGTTTATATATATATTATCATAATATATATATCGAGTTTTCTATATATATATATGTATATATAAATATTTTGTTGTTTTCAAATTTAGTTAATTTCTGTTCTGTTTCGATTTTGTCGTCTTGCTGTTTTCTCATTATGTTGTTTTTGTATAAATAAAAAATATATAATAATTTTGTTTCGCTTCTTCGAATAATACATGCCATACATAGAAATACGTTCGATTCTGGATTATGATTCTCATAATTTATGATTAGACGTTAGCCACGTTAGGCCCTCGTAGAGGCCATCGCCGCTTGTGGCACATGATGGCTGGACATACCAATTGCGATCTCTTATTCTAGTTAAACCTAGTTTCTCCTGGATTTCATGCGGTTTCATTGCTGCAACAAGAATAAACATATTGTAGACAAGCAATTTAATTAAATTTTGTTGCGGTATCGTTACCATCAGCTAGATCCTGTTTATTAGCAAATATCAGTATAATGGCGTCACGCATCTCTCTATCATTAATTATCCTATGCAGTTCAGTGCGCGCCTCATCTATTCTATCCCGATCCGCACAGTCCACAACGAATATCAGACCCTGTGTGCCTGTTGACAGTCGAATTGGAAAAGGTTAATATTAATTTGACTGCTCTTATTGTATATTGTACTTGCCTGTATAGTAGTGCCGCCAAAGCGGTCGAATTTTGTCCTGCCCGCCAACATCCCAGACATTGAACTTAACATTCTTGTACGTCACAGTTTCCACGTTAAAACCCACCGTGGGTATCGTTGTCACCGATTGACCCAGTTTCAGTTTATAGAGGATCGCTGCGGAGACGTTTAAAAATATATATCAATTAAATGGATATCAATTGTATCAGTGTTTCCCGACTTACTTGTTTTGCCAGCAGCGTCCAAGCCGAGCATAAGAATTCGCATTTCTTTGTTGCCGAAAATTTTTGATAATAGCTTTCCCATGATGATGTGTCATCCATTAAACGCTGGCCAAACTGAAACCAAACAAAATTCACATTAATATAAATATGCAACTAGTTAAATGGAGCTTTACAGAAGTTGCTGGCAAATTTTATGATTATTTCATTGTAACTGCAGAGGCAGTTATCGTATCAAATTTGTTTTGTGTGTGATATAAGCATGCCGCTACAAGGCGCGCACACACACACACACACACAACCAGAAACACACATACAGCATACACACACATACAGCATAATGCGTCAACGGAAGCTAAGAGCATTATTTTGCATAATAATTCAACTTACATACAATAATAAGCGACTACAACAATGTTAAGTTCAGAGAGAATTTATCGCTGCCACACACACACACATACACACACACACACATGCATACTTGTACAAACAACTCAAGTACAATTGGGCACGCATACAGCACATAACGGAATGATCATAAATTAAACAAAAATTATCTCAATGGGCCAGCCAATTGAGCGCAGTACGCTGGCCATGCAAAGCCAGTTGCATAGCCGGCCTGGCACGACCCGTGCTCCTGCTGATCCTTGGCAGTCCGAAATGCTGTTGCCTTGTGCCTTGGCCTGGGGCTGAGCGTGTGTTTGCTCGCCGAACACGTCACATACACGCCCGAGTCTCGTACACGCACACACGCACACACACACACATACACGCATACACACCCAAAATTCTAGACGACGACAACCAAGTGTTGGTGAAGATTACGCTGCTCTACGTTCGACGCGCGCCTTGGCTGGGCTTTACCATTAAGCGTTAACACGTCGCGTTCGAATTGTGCATGCAATGCATTTGCATTAATAAACAAAAAACTACTAAATGTTAATAAACTATAACAACAACAAATTTTGCACTAATCTTCTCATATTTGTATGCGCTGAATGTTTTTCTTGTTTTCTTCAGTGTTGCCACACACGCAGACACCCCACACTCTTAGTGTGTACACACTGGCACTTATCGGTGTGGCAACACAGTAGAGTTAGTGTTGGCAAATGTTGCTTAGCAGCACTGCTGCCCATAGATGGCGTAACAACAAAGAGCATTTGTCGCTTGCTCAAATCGTAATAATATTAATTAATAATAACAAACACTCAAACAAATAATGGAATTAAGTTAGTCACAAAGTGCACATACAATAAAACATCATCATGGCGGGCATTTATCCCAGAGAGGCGGTGCGCGTTAAGGTCAAGGTATGTTTTTGGACCAGACACAAGCAAACACAACACAATTTTCACCCAGCCCCCTCTCACTGCACTTTCTCTTCCCCACACACACACACACACGCACACGTACATGCACACGCACACGCACACATAGAAATGCGAGGCAGCCCGACCGCCAGAATGGCGCAAATTCTCCGTGGATCCACAAATAACGACAATGGAGGTGCTCTACTCGCTGCTAGCGAAGGCCTTTGACATCAAATCGGATTTTTCAATCAAATACAAAGCCTTCGATCCAGCTGGCAATGAAATCTATTTGGCCGTGCTCTCCGACTGGGACCTGGACGCTGCATTCCTACGCATACACAATATATCGATACAGACCGCCTCGGAGCCGTGCCTAATGCTACAGATCGACGTCAAACCCTTCACCGTGGTGCGCGAATGCGAAACGGAGTCCACGGCCGCCACCAGCACCAACACCAGCAGATCGGGCAGCATCAGCGGCACGGCCACATTTTCGGCCAGCGTATCGCCGCTGCAATCGCTGGGCGTCTCCCAGAAATATGTGCAGCACATGCAGACCAAGTTGCCGGGCCTGATCATGAATCAAATGGAGAAGACGTTCTCCATTGTGCAGAAGGCCTTCAACTTGTCGGACGAGCACATGGCCAATCTGCCGCCGCGTCCGCCCATGTGCGATGGCGAATTTCGTCTGTTCCTGGATGCGTTGGGGCAAATCCAACGACGCGACGAGCTGCGCAAGGTGATCTTTCTGGGCGGCATCGAGCCCAGTTTGCGTCGCGTCGTTTGGAAGCATCTGCTGAACGTTTATCCCAGCGGCCTGCATGGCCTCGCCCTCGATGGGCATCAGCGCATGGAGTTTATGCGCCGCAAATCCGAGCAATACTACAGGCTGCGCGACACCTGGAAGGCGGCCGTGCAGCGTGGCTGTGCCGCCGGCGAGCTGGCCTATGTCACCAGCATGGTGAAGAAGGATGTGCTGCGCACGGATCGACTGCATCCGTTTTATGCGGGCAGCGATGACAATCAGAACATTGCCTCGCTCTTCAATATACTGACCACATACGCTCTCAATCATCCGGTCGTGAGCTATTGCCAGGGCATGTCCGACATCGCCTCACCCCTGCTCGTCACCATGAACGACGAGGCGCAGGCCTACATCTGCTTCTGTGCGATTATGGCCCGTATGCGCGGCAATTTCATGCTCGACGGCATTGCCATGACACAGAAGTTTGCCCATCTGACGGAGGCGCTCAGCTTTTATGATCCCGAATTTTGGGAATATCTCAAGTCGCAGCAGGCGGACGATCTGCTCTTCTGCTATCGCTGGCTACTGCTCGAGCTGAAGCGCGAGTTTCCCTTTGAGGATGCGTTGCGCATGCTGGAGGTTCAGTGGAGTTCACTCTGCTATGACAATAATAGCTCCAAGGAGCTCTCTCTCTACGAAAAGGTGCGTTGTAAATTGAGATGGGACTGAAAGAATAATATGTTCACGGGCAAAGCCGGGCAATTTCTGTTTATTAGTTATATTTCCTAACAATCAGGCCACGATTAGCTCTCTAAATCATGTTCCTATTTATTTTTAAATAATTTTTGTCATGGTTTAGCGGCCGAAGTACAAACTTCTTCCCAATTTATATTTAAACGTAATATTCACGCCATTTCTTCGATCAAATATGAATAACATGCAAAGTATATAAGTATATACTTGAAGAACTATATGTTCACGGGCAAGGCCGGGCAATTTCTGCTTATTAGTCATATTTCCTAACAATCAGGCCACGATTAGCTCTGTAAATCAGGTTCCTATTTATTTTTAAATAATTTCTTTTCGTGGTTTTGGGCTTGATTTACAACTTCTACGTTTATTGATATTTTTAAACGTAATATTCACGCCCTTTTTTCAAGGCGTTTCCTGATCAAATATGAATATGTGATTCGCATACCTGACAAAAAGTTGCAATTCGCATCCTCTCAATGAACTTTTGTGCTGCGGATAAAACGCGCTGCGGGGATTATTTGCTAAAAAACGAAAATCTTTAAAAAAATTTCAAATTTATTGTAGGTGTAGGTAAATTTGTTAATAGTATTGTGTATTGTGAAAGTTATGTCATGACCAGGATCGATTCTACCAACTCGCAAATTGTAATCCGAAATCTTCTCTAATATCAGGAATTTGTGCCCATAACGGAGACATCGGCGCCGAACAGTGCCAGCACACACAGCGCCACGCCGACGAGTCCTTCGTATTTGCTGGCCAAGCCGCGCGAGAATCCCTACACCAAGGTGTGCGCGCTGCGCCGGCAGAGCTCCTCGGCGTCGCTTAGCTCGCTGAGCTCGTCGCTGGACAACAACTCGAAGCGTCTGAATCAGAGTCTGGACGAGAATATATCGCGGCATGCGGCGCGACGTCAGCGCCGGGCCTCGGCCAAGGCGCATCAGAGTCTGGACGAGTCCAAGATGTTGGCGCTCATCGAGGGCGGCATTGCGGAGCATAGTGCCAGGTCGGTGCTGGAGCTGTCCGCCAGCGAGGATACCGATACCGACGATGTCTTCGATCGCCAGGAACAGATTTCGGCCTCGCCGCCGCAATTTCACGAAACGAATCCCTTCAAGGACGATGCACAGCAGCAGCCAAACAGCAACAGCAACAACAACAATAATAATAATAATAATAATAATAGTGTAGCCACGCCCGCGAGGGCATTTCTGTCTTCGACATCGTCTTCCAATCTGGGCGAGGAGAAGGAGTTGGAGCGGGAACAGGGCCTGGCCAAGCTGCCGCAAAAGAACATTCTCAATGTAAGCAATATCATTGCCAAGCAATTGGCCTCCAATGCCAGCTCGGTCAGCGGCGGCGGTCATTTCAAGGATCTCAAGGAGAAAATCGCGGCCAGCAGTCGCATAACCAGCATCTCGTTCGATGGCGGCGGCGACGACAATGTCGAGCACAAGACGCCGCCCAAGCTGGTCAAGAACTTTAATGAATTTCTCAACTTTGCAGCCATCAACAAGAATCGCATCTCGGATCGCCTGGCCAATCAGCTGCAGATTAGCGAGAAGCCGCTAAAGGAGCAGCAGCAGACGCCGCTACAAGTCAGCAAGCCGGTGGTGCAGCTGACCAAGGGCGGACCGCTGGGCAGCTCGCTGGATGAGTCCGACTCCTCGTCCATACCAGAGACCAGCTGGAGTGCCTCGACAGCGGCCACGGCCATACAGCAGGCCCAGGAGCTGAGCAGCTATAGTCTGCAAATGGATCTCAATGCAGTGTCGCCGCAGCCGCAGCAGCAGCCGGAGGAGATCACGCCCGATCAGGATCCCGATCAGGAGTACTATCCCATGACAAATGCCATCACGCGCGAGCTGCGTCTTGAGGCGGAGAATCTGGATCGTCAGGTATTTGGGCTGCCCTTTACGGAAAGGCAAACGCACGCTGACATTGAGTACGAAAAACTGGACAAGGATACGCTGGATCTGGTCGAGGATCTCAAGGAGAATGAGATCATAATCTGTCCCGATGTCAGCGAACTGCATATGCGGCGACGGCAACGTCTGGCGGCCGCCAAGAGCAACAGCGTCCAGCCGACGGAGACGCACACGCTGAATCCCTTTATAGACGAGAGCCAGCTGCTGCTGCTGGAGAGGAATGGAGGAGGGGTCATGCGCAACAGCAGCAGCCTGCCTGAGGTCATTATGCCCATTTCAACGGAACCGAATCGCGTGGAGGCGCCCACGCTTGTGGAGATCGCCACGAATGCGGATGATGAGAGCGCGTACACACGCTCGCCACAGCGCTCCGGTTCGAGTCCGATAAACGGGCTCAATAGCACGGCGGCTGCACTGCCGCCGCCAGCTGAATTCGGGGGCGGCAATGCGTTCCTCATGTTTCTCTGCCTGACCCTGTTGCTGCAGCATCGCAATACAATCATCAAGTCGGCCATGGACTACAACGAGATCGCGATGCACTTTGACAAGATGGTGCGCAAGCATGATGTTACCCGGGTCCTAAATCAGGCCAGGCGCATGTATTTCGAGTATCTGCAGGCGCAGCGCAAGCAGCCATCAGCTTTGGTCCCGGGCGCAAAGGCAGCGAGCACCACAGAAACCACAAATTTAGCCCAAGTCTAGTCGGAGCGCGGGGCACAGCTTGAGATTGTTGGACTGAGATTTCCTTTGGCATTGGTCAGCCCCAAATATATATATACTATATATAGCCTAAGAAAGCCTAAGAATCATTCTTGTTAAGCGTCTAGTTATAGCTGAGATTTTCATTGAGAAACTTGCTCAAAGTTGCGCAGAAACCAAAGTAATTCATTTATTTATTATATATTAGCTGCCAAATCGAACAGGCCAAAAATTTTAGTTTGTTGATTTAATTGCTTTTAAGTTACATTCCACACTTAATCGAAATGCGCTTACAATTTTAATCTAAACTACGTACTTAATACTTGTGACTAAGCAAAGTCCTTTTAACTTGTTTAATGTAGGAAACATAATTTTTCTATATTTGTTTTTTTGTGTTTTCTTTTTTTCGGTTAGACTCCCTCCTAAAGTCCTTTGTAAAGTTAACGAGAAACGAAACTTTTAAAATAAATGCATTCCAAAACCAGATGAAACATATTTCAGGTACTCTGATCTAAGCCTTATAAAGTCCTTCTTGTGTATTCCTTGATGAGATAAATCTATATAATCTACGATTAATATGTTTTGATCGAAACGATTTGGGGGATTCTTTCTATATGCAGATATATGATATAATTGTCCAATAAGTAATTAACTATTAGAAGAATATTCTGCAGGCTCGTAAATCGAAAATTTGGACAGATATCTTAAAGCAGAAATTTTATACATATGTTCCCTTCGTTTATTATCTTAGTATATCATAAATTGTGAAAATTTATTGAGGCAATTAATTCGTACAAAAATAGTTATAATACGCAATTCAATTTGAACGTTAAACAGAGCAAAAAAAAAGGATAAGGAATTCAAATTAGAAATTATATTTTCGCTTGAGACGCTCGCGTATGAGCAGGCCCTTGATGAGCTTCTTCCAGTTGCCGTAGACGCGCGCCTCGTATTTCTCGTGCTCCTTGCGCGACTGCTCCTGCTGATCCTGCTCCCAGGCGGCGGTGACCAGCTCACCAAACTCCTCGCAAACGACAAAGCCATCGTACATGGGATGACAGGCGCCCTGATGGAAATCAAAGCCAATTACCGCATTGGCGCAATCGATGTTCAGCTTCTTGCAGACGCGCATCAGGCCGGGCACTAATTGGGATAAGATAGATTAGCTATGACTTAGTTTGTGTGATTGGAACACTTACGTCTGAGATGGACTGTTTTCTTGGGCAGCATGCAGGCTTTGAAGAGCTCGACATTGCCGTACGCGTTGCGCGGCACCAGCCCGTTCTCGGCGGTGGGCGGCTCGTACTCCTGCGTTTGCCAATAGCCAAAGATCTCCAGCGGCTGATCCTTGATGACAGTGCGCGTCAGCTGTAAGAAATCATATTATAGCATTGCATTTCATTCCGTCACGATGTTCTTACCCTGTCCCACTTGGGCCGCGCCTTGACAATCTTGTAGGGCTGCTCGCCCAGCTTCACGACACGCGCGCTCTTCAGCCAGATTTCGCGGGAGTGCAGCAGATGGACACAGTCGCGCGAGTAGACCGGCTCGCCACGTATAAAGCCGAGGGTGGGCGCATCTGCCGGATAGATGCCCTGGAATTTGAGCAGATGACGCTCCAGCGCGTACAACGGATGATCCTTGAACTCGGATATGGATTTGGGCAGCGGCTTGTCGGAGTGTATGCGACGCAGCTGCTCATCTTCGCGTATGTCGCGCTTGGTCCGCCTGCCCAAATAGGGCGCCAGTGTCTCATCCAGCCAGGCCTTCTCCACGCGCGACTTTCGCACCGTCGTCGTCCAGCTGGCGCAGTAGCGGGCCGTCACATCCTTGAGACTGAGATCGTCTTGGAATGCGAAGACATAGGCCAGATTCGAGGAGGCGTTTCGCTGCAAACGCAAGCTGTTTAGGATTGGGAGCCGCTCAAACCAGATTTGTACTTACCCGTATGGCATCCACATCGTGAATCTTGCCCCTGAACAGATCAATGCATATCCACTGCTCCTCCAGCTCGGACCACACCTCCACCCACATATCGGAGGCAGTTGTTTTGCGCTTGTCCTTGACACTTTCATCATCGGTGGAGAGCACGCGACGATCCTTGCGCAGCTGCTGCACTGCCTTGGGCAGCACAGGCGCCTTCTTTATGGACCTATGGCTCGGCGTGGAGTCGGACGCGGATTCGCTGCCCTGACTCTGCGACTTCTGCAGCTTCTCGAGCTTGGGTCGCTTCTTCGGCAGGGGCAGGCCATCATCGCCGCCATCCAGCTGGGGTATGGCCAGCGCTTTGGCCTTTTGCTGGCGCGTTCGCAGCTCCCGTTTGGGTTCGTCAGCTTCGGCTTTGGTCAAAAACGTCGGCGATATTTTGGCCTTGGCATCCTGACTGCGACACGGCGCTGCGCTTTTCGCTGTGGTAACTGCCACAGGCGCATTCTGGTCGCCCTTCAGGAACACCGGCGAAATGTGCACCTTGGGCGACTTGCTGCGTGAGCGTGCCGCACGCTGCTGATTCCGGCCGGGATTGGCATTCTCCGCGTCGCTATGCATGGCAGTTTTTGGCACCACCAGCTTGGGTATGACGGGTGAGCCTATTTTGGCTGCCGGATATGATGCGACTGTCGCCCTTTCCGTATCGGCAGATGCTTTGCGCGTGCGTCGCGCCACGGGCGTAAATTCCGGCTTCACCGGCTCCAGTTTTGGTTTCTTGGCCGCATCAGCAGCGGGCAACTGGGGCGCGCGTTTGAGTCGCCCGATCTGCGGCTTGTCCTTCGCCGGGTTGCCGTCCGAGCTGCTATCGGAATGCTTGGGAGCGGCGGCTTTGGACTTGGACGCTTCACTTGGCTTCTTGGAGCTGGACTTTGTCTCTGCTTTGGTTGTAGAAACTGTTTTGGAATTAGACTTGGCGCTGGACTTGGTCATCGATTTAGAGCTGGCGTCTCTTTTGGGCACACTGGAGCTGGGCTTCGCTTCCGCTTTAGCTGCAGCTGCGGAGCTGCTCTTGCTGCTGGAATCTTTGTTGGCTGTTTTGGCCGCTTTTGAGCTGCTTTTGTGCGCCTTTGCCTTGCTGTCCGAGTGTTCCTCCTCCTCGTCCTCTTCAGCTTCGCTTTTAATAGTTGCACTTTTGTTCTTCTCCTGCTCCTGCTTCAATTTAATGGGTATCAAATCGCTGGCCTGCGGCCGCAGCGCCATCGGCTGCAGATTGACAATCAGGCGACAATTCATGCCCATGCCGCGTGCCAGTATAATGAATATGAAGATCATGTCCTGCTTGCAGCGCGCCTCCTTGCGCTTGATCTGCGCCAGCAGCTGCTCGATGATGGCGCGCCTTGAACCAGCCGCCGTCGCGTTGGCGGCATACAAATCCTGACTCAGCAGCTTGATGGCCGTTTTGAACCAGGTGACAAAGGATTGCAGATACTTGAGCTCAACGCCCTTTTCCGTCGGATAGGCATTCCGGCTGGGCAGCAGCTTCAGCGCCGCCTGCATCAGGCTCGTATCCGCCAGCAGGCGATTGTACTTTAGACTGCGCGCAATGAGGCACAACAGGCTGACCTTGTGCATCAGCAGCTGGCGATCCTTGATGTCGCGATTCATGCGACGCTTCAGCGCCAGCTCCAGTTCATGCTGCGTTTTCTGCTCCTTGGTCAGAGTGCGGCCGGGCAGGCCCACATGAATCTCCAGATCGCCGGAGACATTGGGCGTGGCGGCGTCGGCATCGTCCTCCTCCTGGTCGTCTGCAAAAGGGAAGTGTGGTTCGGACTTCAGTTACAGTCTGTTGCTTAAGTATGTCTACGGGCAATAAAAGCAGCTACAAATTGTCGGTTTTTTTTTTATCTATTTAAAGTTTTATTTCATTTTGAAACGCTTTGCATTTATTTATTTCGTTTGATGTGCATTTTAAATTTTCAATTATTATTGATTTAAATACATTTAACATTCACTAAATTGCGCTAAATTTCTATTAACTATACATACTAAATTTATATCATTTGTATTTTTTGTGAAATGAATACAATTTTGCTAAAGTAAATTCGTTTAACATCAGTTCTAATTTGTTAGCTAGTTTTCTTTAATATTAGTTTTTCATTGTTTTTTTTTGAAACACTTGAAATTTCCATAAAGTAAGTGTATAAAGTGTTTTTAACATTTATGTTCAATTTGTTTAAAAACTGCATTTTGTTAAGTCTTGTTCTTTGGCAAATAAAACACAATCAAAATAAAATGCAACCCGGAAAAAAATAGGGAATTTATATTCGAAACGATTTTGTTTCGGTTTCAAAAGTTGATAAAACTTCGTTTTCATGTGTTTTGCAAATAATTTTAAGTTCTTTAAAATGTGCAAACATTTCAAAACACACGCAGATTGATTGAAAAGTTTTTTTTAACATTTAACAACACTCAAACATCTATTTTGTGTTAGTTTTCTTTTTTTATTTGTGCTATTTGCAAAAGACATTGAGAAGTGATGTTGTTTTATTTTTTCTAACTGCATTTACCAGTGTTGGGTAGTTAGCTTGCCGTGTAAATATAGTTATTTGCAGTTGTAGTGTTGGAAAGTATAGCTTAAAGCGTGTTAAATAAAGCCTTCTAAAGTGGTTTCTACGCTCTGTATATTATTTCAGTCCAAGAGACTACATGACCCAGTTTCAAATTGTTAAGAGTTTCTATGGAATAACTCTTTCGAAATTCTATTTTTTTTGGGTTATGCAGACTATTTGAACCGAGTTGGGGGTTAGTTTAGTTCTAGAGAGCAGATGTCATATATAATTTTAGCTCTGCTTCTATGTATATATTATCGTTAAACAAAAAATCTACGCAGTCTCATACGGAGCCATTATGGAAGCTTTTATCTTTTATGTGATAATCAGATACGAGATTCTCGGGAATTTTAGGCTAGCTAAGATCAACAAACACACCACAACCAACATTTGATATTAAGCCCTATCCACAACTATAATCAGCAATTTTTTTTCGGTTTTCTACTTGCGTTTCCTACCTGCAACTTCCTCAAAGTCGGAGTCATCGGAGTCGCCGCCAGCAGCCAGCACAGTGGACGCCGGACGCGTTTTGGTGTGCCGCTTAATGCGCGTCGACTTGGTTTTGCTGAGACGCGACGGTGCATCCAAAGGCGGCGGCGGCTGTGCTGCTCCGCCGGAACGTCGACGTTCGCGCGGTTTGTTCTCGTTTTGGTTCTCGCCCAATGCAAGCAGTGCGTTGACATCCATCGCTTGCCCAGCGTTGCCCTGGCTGCCTGGCAGCAACGGGGGCGTCGCTGTGGCATTGCGCTTGGTGAGCAGCGCGGCCCGTGTGCGTTCCAGGCTATTGGCATTCTCGAGCAGGTCACGAAAATCAAAGGCTTTATTATCCTCGTAGCTGCTGTCGTTGTTATCCTCGGAGCCGGAGCCAGAATTTGAGAGATTTGTGATGCCCGCATTGCAATCGAACTGGGGCGCTGGCGATTTTTCTTTGCTGGCCGTAAAGAAACTGGAGCGCAGATCAATATCAGCGGGATTGACCAGATAATCATCGACACTCGATTCGCTGCTGGAGTCTGCGGCGTTGTTGCTTTCATTGGGCGTTTTGGCGTTTTTTGAGGCCGTCGTCGTCAAGCGGCTGGCAGAACCCGATGCCGTCGGCGAGTTCTGTGTGGGCGATGTGGGAAATGTTTTGGGCGGCGGACGATATTTGTTGTAGAGCTTGGAGCGCAGCGATTGCCCGCTCGGCTTGCGTTTCTTCACAGAGGCGCCCTTAATGCCGCTAGGCGGCTTTTGTTCCCTATCGAATGAATGATGGATTATTTTGTTTTAAACTTTAAGTGATTGATTGCTTGCCTCTTCTTGGCTGCGCACGCGGAGGAGCGGCCACTGGCGCTGGCTGCAGCAGCTGCCGCGCCGCCGAGTGTCGCCTCAAATTCGCTGTCATCGTCATCGGAGGATTCGCCGCCGCGCGCATCTTTGCCTGGTTTCCATTCATCCTCTTCGCTGGCGGAAAAGCCCTCGGACAGCGATTCTTCTTCTTCGTCGGACATTGTGTGCGTCTGTGTGTGTGTGGGGGTGCTTGTTGCTCACAGGCTGCGCGTTTTACATGTGTGTGCGTGTTCTATGTGCCACTTACAGTTATTGATTTTTACTGCGCACTTTTGGAATGCTCTGCTCTTCCTTGCTGCTGCTGACACAACAATGCTTAATTAATTGCCATTCGTAACATTTAATTTGCCGTTTGATTGGATCTAATGCAAATATGCAGCCCGTTTTATTGTTGGCTATTTAAACGAATTTGTGAAATTGACATTTCCGCGCTTGGCTGGCGTTAGGCTGGGAAATAGCGATAGGCCTTTGATAAGTGGCGGTCGCCGATAATTTGTTCAGGTGCATGTTATCGAGTATCGAATGTAAACAGAAGTGTGTTTACACACAGTTGCAAAAAAAAAAGGAATTTTCGCTGCACAGCACTTGGCAACACTGCTGTAAAATTTGTTCAGGTGCGTGTTATCGAGTATACTGATAAAATATCGATAAGCGTTTGCGAAATGTAAACAGAAGTGTGCTCACACATATTTGCAAAAAAAAAGAAGGAATTTTAGCTGCACAGCACTTGGCAACACTGCTGTAAAATTGTTTACGTTTGTAACATTCGTGCCGTTACATGGATTCGTCGGGCCAGGAGCTGCATCCCAATTGGCGAGCTCTGACCACATTGCATGTGCCACTGAAACGCTTTGTGCGCGCAGGGGCTGCCGAGCAAGAGAGGGGCAGGGCAGGGAAACACACAATCGATGGCGGCAGCGGCGCTGAAGTGCAACAGTTCTACAGGGAAATCCTGGATACGCCTGCGACAGCAAAGGTCATCAGCAAATCGACAATTACTGGCACAGCCAGACAAGTCAAGGAAGAGCCACAAGCGTTGCCCTATGACAGAAACAGATTCTTTCGCCTGGCCACCAGCAACAATGTGGAGCAACTAGCTCAGATGTGCATTAACGAGGAGCAGCAGCTAAATGCCTGCGATTCGTATGGCTGGACGGCGCTCATGATGGCTGCCTGTGAGGGCGCGGAGGATGCAGTGGCTTGGCTGCTGCAGCTGGGCGCCGATGCGGACGTCGCAGACAAAGGCGGCAACACGGCCCTGCAGCTGGCCAGCAAGAAAGGCCACGCGAGAATTGTCCAGCTGCTGCAGAGGGAACTCGCCTCCAATGCAGCCGCAGCGCTGCTGGCAGAGGAGCCCAGCGACACAGCTGCTGCTCCCTTCTATTGTCAGGTCTGCCAAAGGGATTACAGCGAGTCCAGTTGGCGCGCCCATCAGACCTCAACGGTGCATCGGTTCAACATGAAATCGCTGCCCGCCCACAGATTACAAAAGTTCAACATTCCGGCACGAAATCGTGGCCTACGGCTGATGGTTAAACAGGGCTGGGACCGTGAACACGGCCTGGGACCGACACAAAACGGACGCCTCTATCCGGTGAAGACCGTGTTGCGCAACAAGCGCACCGGCCTGGGCATTGAGCAGTCCCCGGCGCGTGTCACACACTTCGCAGCCTTCGACACAAATGCCACCAAGCTGCGCAATCGGAATCCCTTGCCGCCGCAACAGCGACGCACACGCAGCGACATGCAGCGGGAGAAGGTGCGGGAATCGAAACGAGAGCGTCGACTGCGCCATGAATTGAGTTGACCCTGAATAAAGATTAAGATTTTATTAGTAAATAATTTAAGAGATCCTTGTGCCAAGGCCAAGGCAGCTGCCGAACGAGCGCACGCAGCTGTTGATCGAAGCCAGTGCTGCCACACCAATTCGGAATGCAAAAAAAAAAACGTTGCTTTTTCAAATGTACTCAATAGTATTTTTATTGCTCCTTGGCAGTTATCAGTCTGTATATTTGGCTTTAAATGTTGTCGCAATATTTGTATGCTTGGATAGGTCAGGGCATGGTTGCGGCACGTGCCTGACGTGCTGACCTTTTTACACGTGCAGGGTGGTGGAGGGAGAGGGGGGAGGTTGAGAGGGGCGAAGTTTAGCCTGGAGTTGCGGCACGGCGCGCTCTCATCCTGCAGCTGACACCGATTCCGCTTTGCGCCTGCGCACTGAGTCGCTTCCTAACCCCCCTTTAAAACCGACGGCTATGCTTGCGCTTATATACGTATAAAAGGCAGTTATCCGAATTGTGCTACTCAGTCGCGTTCGGACTGTGACAGTGTGAAGACGTTGTCAGGACGTCTCCGTTGCTGCTGCTGTGCTGCTGCCTCCTGTGGTCTAGTTTAACAGTAAATCACAATCCGTGTGCGTGCTAAAAAGTTGTGCCCGCAATTAAACGTACCTAGAAAATTGTTCTATGCGAAGGTCGGCAAACAGCGTGAGTTAGGTAAATTAAAAACATTGAATTATTAAAAAGGGTCTGCAGTACAATTGTCAAGTGAATGTACTCAATACAAATATTATTGAGTACATTTCAAAAAGCAACGTTTTTTTTTTCATTCCGAATTGGTGTGGCAGCACTGGCTTCGATCAACAGCTGTGCGCGCTCGTTCGGCAGCGCAAAAGCAAACGCAAACGCAAAAGCGAGATAGAAGAACACGGCAAAGACAAAACGTTGGCGCCCAGAACATTAGCGTCGCATTTGTTGTGCTTATTTGTGTTTGCGGCCCCAACGTGTTCGGTTTATATTAGCGCTCGAGGCGGAGAAAATAAATTATATGTATATTTCAAATCAATTGAAAACTTATTGCCAATGTCGTGTTAACTCGTGTGTGTAGTGCTTGTAAATTGTGTAAAGTTGAAGTGTATCCCAGCGTGGAAAATATAAATTTAACCAAAGTACGCAGTATGCCAGTTATAATGCAGAGCATGCAAAAACTCTACGTAATGATTAACACGACTCGCCGTGAAAGAGAGGCATAAACAATTCCTGGTGCATTTTGGCGTCGCTGCCGCCATGTGATTTGCGTGAACTTGACAACAATTGAAATATGCTAATAATATGCATATGTATGCATGCATATATACTGCTGCTTGTTATTGCAAAATATTCGATATACATATACATATTTGGTTTATGGCTTATTGCTCTAGCTGCTGCTACACACACGCATAGCGCATTTTATTTTTGTGTATTTGTTTGGTTTACATTTTTAAATTGCTACCTTGTCTTTTTTATCTCAGCGACGCGCTGCCCACCCTGCTCCGCTACGCAGCGGCAGCGACGGCGACAGCGGCAGCGACGGCAACAGCATCTGTCAGTGTAGCGGCGATCTCAGTTTTTTTTTTGTTTGTCTTTTTGCCCTCAGGCGGCGCTCTTCGCTCTCTTTCGCTCCATGAACTTTGCGCGTGCCTTTCAATTTGTTTGATCTGTCATTGCAATTCCATCTCATTCTCTCTCGCACTCTAGATCTGTGGCGTTCTTCTGTTCGTTCACCCACGCGCGCTCTCTTTATTTTATATATTCTTGCTCGCTCACGTAACGGTTTGATTATTTAGAAATTAATGCAGTGCGATAGACAGCAATAGGAACGGTTGCGGGGGCAACGGGGGCAACGAGGTGCGCACTGCAATGTATTTTGTTATTATTTACCGTTTTTAAATAAGTAAATTGCGGTTTTATTTGGATTAGGTATTTGGAAAATTTTAATTTATGACCACAAGCAGTGATTACAATAAAAAAACGCTTTAATTTTTGGCAAATTAACACTGCGGTTAAATAAATACTCTGATTTTTAGTGTTGGCTAACATAAAAACAAATGTATTTTTCATGATCAAAAAAACATACAGACGTAAATAAACTATTTTAGTGAGTGTTTTGTTTAAAGGCAAAACAAAAAAAAAAAAAATAGCCTGCCAGTCACATGGCCTCTTTAACCGTTAGCTCTGCAAAAGGCCATAAATACAAGGTTGAGACGGACACACGGAATACGGAACAACCGAGCAAAAAAGATCTTGCAAGCACGTCAACTAATCTCGTAAATCTTTAAAATCCTAAAACAAACAAATACACAACAAAATGCTACAGCAAAAAAAAACTAGTTCGAAAAAGCAAATGAAACCTCAACATGTTTATTATAATGTAGCCATACCAAGTACAGTGAAGCCAGCTTTGAGTAGACAACTTTTGATTGCACTGTATTTATCCTACTAGGAAAGCTGTGCTCTTTATAAACATTCCGAAAAAATACCTAAATATCTCAAAAACATTATTTATGCTTCTTCCTTTCAAGATCCCAGGATATGTCTTGGATAAATGAAAATTAATGTTAAAAACTATTTGTTTTAGGTCCTAAGTTTAGGCATAAATAAAAGAGATATCTGCCCATAGAAGCCGTCTGTTATTCGAGCTTTTCCTGTATATATTGCAATACTGTACTCAGTACAAGTAAAATAATTTCGGACAGAATTCTCTTCCGGGTCAATTTTGGACTTTAAATTGTCTGCTCTTCAAAATTTGTTCTTTCATGCCGCACCAAGAAAATAACGAAAAAAAAAAACACTCTCAGCAAGATAAATAAATAAAATAAAAGCAAGTCTAAATAAATAGTAATTGAATGAAAATGAAATTCTTTAATAAAAAAAATAACGAAAAATCGTATTTGAAGTGAGGTTTTTTTTTTTTTCGGTTTTTTGCATAGCTGTTGTAAAATCAAGTTAGTTTGTTTATGCAATTCGAAAGGCCTAATTGAAAATGCGCGCGAAATTAACCATAAAAACAATTACAACAACGATTATAAACAAATGCTAAAAAACAACAAAAACAATTGCCTTTTTTCAGCCTCTGCACAACAACAAATGCCCAGCGATTATTAAAGGTGAGTCTCAACAGTTTATCAAAGCCAATTGCAAATGAAACAAAGCGAGAGACTGACTGTCTGTCTGTCTGACTGTCTGTCTGTCTGTTTAATGGCTGTGGCATAAATCTCTCACCTGCTGGAATTTTCTAATAACGCGAAAGTGTTGCACGCTCAGCGGCGCATAAAATGGGAAATTTGTAAAACTTGCAACATAAATTAAAGCATACAATTAGGCGCACACACACACACACACATAAAAGTGGTCCCCCCCCCCCCCCCCCCCTCTGCGTTCCGCCCTCTGGTAAACTAACAAAAATTCAACTTGAAGTTTGTTGCCAAAACTCGCTAAAACTGTTGTTGCGGCTTTTGCTGGATAAAGTTACCTTAAAGTTAAGCAGCTGTAATTAACGTTAATAAAGCGCAGCTAAACTAGTTTAGGTAACTAACTGGCTTAAATAGGCAACTAGGCGGCAAATTCGCTTTAAAACATCATCAATATTAATTAATTTATAGTTGAATTTCACTAAAACTGAAACTAGTTGATTAAAAGTGATTCAATTGAAAG